CGCAATAAGAGAGTACGAAGGTCAGCGACTGGAGACGAGACGAGCACTAGGAGGACAACGAGTGGCCCAAGTGTGCGGGACAGAGGAGGTGACTGAGACCGCGGAGGAGGGCAAACAGCCGGGGACGAGTCCGGGGGAGGAAACGTAGGACCGTAGGCAGGAGGAGACAGTGAGCAGTCTAGAGGAGAGGATGGATGTAACAACCACGGCCCTTATAACAACGGGCAACCGTGTGTTAAATATAAATCACCCTTGACAATATTTATAAAATCAAGATACAAGGCTTCCAAGTTTAACTAATCCCACCAAGGGATAATCAAGCCTTGATAGTACTCTTCAAGCTTGAGAGGAGAAAGAGAGCTTGAAGAAGGTTGATGAAGCTTGAGTAAGTGGGTAGCTTCTTGTAGAGCTTATCCTTGAAAATAACACAAGTCTAGTTGTGTAGGAGAGCTTGTTAGGAGAACCAAAATGACTTAGAGAAATCCCATTTCCAAATTGGTAAGTTGGAGTTGGGAAGTGGGAATGAGCTTGAAAGCTCCAACCCCTTCCATCATACCCCTTGGGGCTCTTCCCAACCATGGCTTCCATGGTTGGGGAGCTAATAGGCTTGGAGCCTAGGTGGCATCTTTGTTTGGTTGGGAAAACCCAACTTAATTGTGTTGTATGGTTGTTTTGTGTTTGGTTGGATTGTAACAACAACTGGCACAATTTGATTGGTTGGAAATCCAACCTTCCCAATCTTCACTTTGATGGGTTGGAAGTTTCCAAGCCTCAAGGTTGAGGTTTGGAACAACCCAACCAACCTTCCCCTCCAACTCAACCTTCCCGCTTCCCATCGAGTCATTTCTCATCGAGCACTATCTCGATGTTGACTTAGGAAGCTAGAGGTAGATTAGGCAGAGTAGGTCATGCGTTACACTCCTCCCCCCCTAGGTGGCAACGTCCCCGTTGCCTTAGGGTGCTTCTAAGGACGAGCGCTTCGAGCACGCCGTGTCACATTACGACCAGTGTCAACACCATCCGCTGGCTGTGCGGCAGCTCGTCGGGCCAGATCTGTCATGTACGACTGAACTGCAATTTCAGTCAAATGCTCTTCTGGCTCCCATGAGTTGTGTTCAGGCCCATAGCCTTTCCACTTGATGAGGAACTCTCGTACTGTCTTGCGGCCGCGCTGTCGATCACGATGCATCAGCACTCGTTCGACTTCATAAAACAGTTCCTCCCCCAGGACGATCGTTGGTGGCGGCAAGTACTTGCCCTCTGCAACGTACTTGTTCAACAGAGACACATGGAAGACGTTGTGAATCTGTAAAGTGTCAGGTAGCTTAAGCTTGTAAGCTACCACACCAACACGCTTGATCACCTCGAATGGCCCAATCCATCGAGGGAACAACTTTCGTGCTCCGGGAATTTTGAGACGAATGTTCTTCGTGCTCAACAAAACTTTGTCTCCGACCTCAAATGAGACTTCCCGGCGTTTCATGTCGGCGTAAGACTTTTGTCGCTGCTGAGAGACTTGCAGCCAATGGCGAGCAGACTTAAGCTCTTCTTGTTGCTTGCCAACAAAGTCTTTAGCGGCTGGAATTTTTAATCCACCAATCCCATGCGTAGCAGGTGTTGTGGGATGCCGACCATAGTCCAGAATGAAAGGTTTCTCACGTGTACCTTCATGAACTGAATTGTTCACTGCGAATTCTACGACAGGCAACAACTCGTCCCAATCATCCTGAGTTGGGCCAATGAATGAACGAAGCATCTGCTCAAGTGTCCGGTTTGTTCGTTCCGTCTGCCCATCGGTTTGTGGGTGGAACGCCGATGACATCTTAAGCTTCGTTCCTAGCGTCCGTGTGACTTCTTGCCAGAACCGGCTTGTGAAGCGCGGATCCCGATTGGACACCAATACACGAGGTAACCCATGTAAGCGGAAAACGTGCGCCACAAACAGTTTGGCCGTATCTTCCGCAGATACGTCAGTTGTCGTAGCCACGAAATGCACCATCTTTGTCAAACGATCCACAAACACTAGAATCGCTGTATGGCCATCGCGAGTCTTGGGGAGATCCGTGATAAAATACAAGGATACGCTCTCCCAAGGTTCATTCGGGATTTCGAGTGGTTGAAGCAAACCACCAGGCTTCTTTGTGTCCGTTTTATTTCGTGCGCATGCGTCGCAGCGCGCCACGAATTGTTGGACCTCAGTGCCCAATCCCGGCCACCAGTACACATCACTCAAGGCCCACCTGGTCTTCTTGACCCCTAGGTGTCCTCCGTACTTAGCGGCATGCACTTCTTCCAGAATATTGTTCCGCAGGTTACCCACGTGAGGTACAACAATCTCATTTTTACGCCACCAGAGCTCATGCTCCCACTTGAGTTCCTTCGTGTTTCGTGGGTTCTGAAACCAGGAGTCAATTTGATACCCTGTGCGGATGCGTTTCAGAAAACCACTGAAGGTAATCTCACTCACTCGAGCCGTTGCTAGGACACTGAAGCAAGCAGAAAATACTGCTGCATCCTCTGTGTCGTCTAGCCGTGTTGCTGCCCCTATCGGCTGTCTGCTGAGGGGGTCAGCCAGGTTCGTCGAACCTGCTCGATATCGAATATCGAAAGTGAACCCACTAAGGAGTTCTGCCCATCGGGCTTGACGTCGAGTAAGCGTGGCTTGGGTGGAAAAGTAGGTGTTTGGACAGTGGTCGGTCGTAACCACAAAGTCCACACCCTCCAGATAACATCGCCATGTTCGTAGCGCATGAACGACCGCCAACAGTTCCTGTTCGGACGTCGTATAGCGCTGCTCTGCCGGGGAGAGCTTTCGACTCTCAAATGCCACTGGTCTCCCCTCTTGCAAGAGGACAGCCCCAATCCCTATCAATGAGGCGTCGGTAACGACCTCACAGGGTTTCGTCGGATCTGGTAAAACCAGCACCGGAGCGTTGGTCAGCGTTCGCTTGACCTCGTCGAATGCCTTTTGGCATTGCTGTGTCCATTGCCAAGCGCTACTCTTGCGAGTGAGGGCCGTCAATGGAGCAACAATGGTAGAATAATTCTGCAAGAATCGACGAAAATAGTTTGCCAGTCCCAAAAACGACCTGATCTGACCCACATCTTGTGGCACCGGCCAGTTTTGGACTGCGACAACTTTCTTTGGGTCTACTTTGAGACCGTCATGTCCCACGAGATATCCAAGATACTCCAATTCGCGTTTGTAGAAATGACATTTCCACAGACGAGCATAAAACTTATGCTCTCGTAGTTTCCCCAACACCCACTTAAGGTGTCGCGTGTGCTCCTCTTCCGTCTTGGAATAAACCAAGATATCATCCAGATAGACCAGAACGAACTGTCCAATCGCCTCGCGAAAGACATCGTTCATGGCCCTCTGAAAAGAGGCAGGAGCATTGGTCAAGCCAAAGCTTAGCACTCGCCACTGAAAATGACCAAACGGTGAACGAAAAGCCGTTTTGGGTACATCTTCTTCAGTGATGCGCAACTGATGATACCCCTGTGCGAGGTCTAGTGCGCTGAACCACTGGGCACCTTGGAGTTTGTCAAACAGATCCTCGATCCTTGGGAGGGGGTATCTGTTTTTCACCGTTATCTTGTTAAGAGCACGGTAGTCTACGCACATGCGTAACCCTCCGCCCTTTTTGTTCACGAACAAGATCGGCGCTCCGTAAGGTGATGCGCTTGGTTCAATCCTTCCCTTCCTGAGGTACTCCTCAATTTGTTGTTTAGCCTCCTCGTACTCAGCTGGACTGAGGCGATACAGAGGTCTAAACGGTGGGAGTTTTCCAGGCTCCACTGGGATGGTGTGACCGACAGCACGGTCCGGAGGAAGGCCATCTGGGATGGGCTCAAAAACCTCCGCAAACTCGTCTGCCAGTGCTTTCATCTGAGGCGGAAAATCCTCGACCCCAGGCAGTTCGTGTTCGGCATTCTCAAGCTGTACCACAAAGAATGTATCAGCTTGTCGAACATGCTGTCCGAACTCATTCGCGAGCGCAAAACTCACGTCAGGGCGTTCCAACATGGGTTGGTCGTTCGTGATCAAGTCCTTAGGCACTTGCCACTGGACAGTGTTACCGTTCTTTGAGAATGAGACCGTATTGTCCTGGAAATCGAGCTTGACTTCATTTGCTCGAAGCCAATCCATTCCAAGGACAAGGTCGACGCCTGCGAGAAGGGGTAAAACATACGCGCAGATTTCTTCGTGATAACCCTCAATCTCCATGTTGATCCGTGTCTGCCCTTTGCTTGGGATGATGCTATCATCACCAAGGCGAATGGGGCAAGACGGTCCTTCAACGAGGATCGTGCGTGCTGTGGCCCACTTTTCGTCAAAGAGGGAAACAGTTGCACCCGTGTCAACAAGGATTTTTGCGTTTTCCCCGTTCACGCTACCCGCAAGCAACAAATTTTGTTGATGCTTTGGGCGAATAGGACATGCCACAATACTCGTCGAAGGTTTGAAGTACACCTTGACGTTGTGACGAGCGCGTCCATGTGACTGAGAGTTGGTCCACCACACATGGTGTCCCTTGTCCCACGCCGCTAGGACCGGCCATCCACGAAGCGCATGGAACAATTCGCCTTTCACTGTGCGAGTCACCAACGCGACCGAAGTCAGGGGGTGCTCTTGAGTGCAACGACTCACAATCTCAATGACAGAAGGCAGAATGTCCAAGCTACAGAAAATAATTGAAAATTTATCCTGCATTGCTTCTATGGAAATGTTCTCAAGTGGGTACGATCGAGGATAAAAAACAGAGTTTTTATTAAAAGAAGAGGCAAACAAACAAGAGACTTTGCAATCAGCAAGCTTCTCTAGATGTAATATATCAGCATCGCATAGCACATATGCCTCATCCACTCGATCTACTCCTCCAACTAGGTACCCACACCCTAGTTGGGTTTCTGAAAATCCTTCGTTCCAGAAGGTCCAGCGCCGCTTGGCTTAGGCTTGTCACGGCACTGCTTTTCGATGTGCCCCATCCTTTTACAGCGCCTACACTGCTTATCGGAGAAGTCTGGGGTGTTAGGGCCACGCCCTCCCCATCCGTTAGCTCGCTTGGCCTGCGGCCCGGGCTGGTGACCACGCTGCTGGAAAGGCCGCTTGTTCCAACCGCCTCCACCCGTGGCATTCTGGGGTCGGTTCCCATGACCACCAGAGCCTTCAGCACGGGGCTGCTGGCCTGGCTTATCGGTGCCAAACACGTACGTGCGAATGATGTTGTCCGTTTTGGTCACCTGCTCCTTCATTTCCTTGTAAGTCGTCCAATTGGTCATGCCACCTGTCACGTGTGCCTGCTGCAGCTTGACAGGAAGGCCTTTCATGAAGATGTGCATCATCTCCTCATCGGACAAGGGTTTCTGGAGCAAGCGTGCTGCGGCTTCGAACTTGACCGCATAGTCCTGCACCGAACGGTCACGGCACTTAATACTCTCGAGGCGTCCGCGAAGTTCCAGGTCGGACTTCTTGACCATGAACGCCTCTCTCAGCGCGGTGCAGAACTCCGGCCATGCAAACGGTCCCTGCGCCTGCTTCTTAGCGCCGTACACCGCCCTGCGTGCCACCTCATCCAATGCACGAGTAGCTGCGGGGACGCGAGCCTCGGGGCGCACATTCGCAAGGGTCATGGTGGTATCCACCAGGTCAAGCCAAGGCTCCACCTCCGTCTTGCCATGGATAAAGTCAGGCAGAGGCGCCGAGAGAGACCCAAAGGGTGAGTTCTCAGTTGGAGGTGGCTGGTGCATAGCCGTCGCAGCGCCTACCGCCGGAGGTGCGGGCGGAGCGGGTGTCGTCTGAGCAGCAGGAGCGGGCCTATGCCCAGGAGGAGGCTGGTAAATGCCCTCCCTCCTAATCTCCCTCAAATGCTCATAGAGCTTGTTGATTGACGCTTGCATATTGTTGCAATTATCTTGAAGCTCCTCAATTTGGCGCTTCTTAGTGCCCAGGCTGCGACGGAATTGGCAAGCCTCCTTCGTGACAACGCCCAACTCAGCCTTAAGCTTGTTAGCCAGCTTTGTGAGTCCATCAATGGACTTCTGCTGTTGCAGGATGGTGATATTCTGAGTTGACACTTTAGCCTGGAGTTGGACAATCTCCTCGGAGACAGGATAACTCATGCCTTCACCCTCAGTGAAGTCATTTTCATCACCAGTGTTCTCCTTGTCACCGGTGTTGTCCTCCTCCCCATTGTTATCAGCTTCACCATGGTTATCAGCTTCACCATGGTTATCAGCTTCAACATAGTTATCCTCATCCTCCAAGTCCAGGTTCTCAACGTCATCCAGCTCAATGTCAGCCATTGCCTCATCTTGATTGAGGTCAATATCAGCAGCATTGTTCACCACCTCATTAGGTGCAGTGGGCCCTTCCTCCCTTGCCATGTCCTTCTCTTGGCCAGATGCCATAAGGATTAAGGGAGCTTTAGAGATCTGGGTTGATTCTGTTAAAGTCCTTTTACCACCTCAATGGTAAAGCAAGAAATTCTTATAAAAGAAATTTCTTCTACAGAATAACTCAAAGTTACCAAATGTAACAGATTTGTTGCTAACACTCCCAATCACCTAGTGAAAGGGCAGAGTCTATCCAAGTCTCAATAAAGAGAACTTGAATAACCCTCAACAAATCCTCCAGATCTTAGTTTATACTCCACTACTCAACAGTAGAGAGTCTTCCACCAAAAGGTGGGCAAGAGAGATAAATCTCTCTTCTTAGCTTGAAGTTGAAGTTGTAGATCATGTAGATCTTGAACTCTTCAAGCTTCCAGATCTTGAGTGTTTTCTTAAAGAGAAACCACAACTCCAAGATCTATAAAAAAAAAAAAATCTCTAGGGGCAAAATCCCCACTAGGCTTAGGATAACCCTAGCTCTAGATACCAATGTAACAACCACGGCCCTTATAACAACGGGCAACCGTGTGTTAAATATAAATCACCCTTGACAATATTTATAAAATCAAGATACAAGGCTTCCAAGTTTAACTAATCCCACCAAGGGATAATCAAGCCTTGATAGTACTCTTCAAGCTTGAGAGGAGAAAGAGAGCTTGAAGAAGGTTGATGAAGCTTGAGTAAGTGGGTAGCTTCTTGTAGAGCTTATCCTTGAAAATAACACAAGTCTAGTTGTGTAGGAGAGCTTGTTAGGAGAACCAAAATGACTTAGAGAAATCCCATTTCCAAATTGGTAAGTTGGAGTTGGGAAGTGGGAATGAGCTTGAAAGCTCCAACCCCTTCCATCATACCCCTTGGGGCTCTTCCCAACCATGGCTTCCATGGTTGGGGAGCTAATAGGCTTGGAGCCTAGGTGGCATCTTTGTTTGGTTGGGAAAACCCAACTTAATTGTGTTGTATGGTTGTTTTGTGTTTGGTTGGATTGTAACAACAACTGGCACAATTTGATTGGTTGGAAATCCAACCTTCCCAATCTTCACTTTGATGGGTTGGAAGTTTCCAAGCCTCAAGGTTGAGGTTTGGAACAACCCAACCAGCCTTCCCCTCCAACTCAACCTTCCCGCTTCCCATCGAGTCATTTCTCATCGAGCACTATCTCGATGTTGACTTAGGAAGCTAGAGGTAGATTAGGCAGAGTAGGTCATGCGTTACAATGGAAGACCAAGGGCCCGAAGGCCACTCACAAGTGGAGACATCTGCGGCAAAGCTGGTTGCTGCTGCTGCCGCTGCTGCTGCTGCTGCTGCTGCTGCTGCTGCTGCTGCTGCTGTTGCTGCTCCTGCTGCTGTAGCTCCTGCTATTGCTGCTCTCGCTCCAGACTCTCCTGGTCCAATATCTCCTGCTCTGCACGCTCCAGCCGACGTAGAGTCCAAAGACGCGTGTCAAAGAGGTGGGGAGGTGGGTGAGGCGCCGCAGTAGTAGTGCCTCCAACCCCAGTCTCCTCAGAATCAGCACCTCCAACTCCAACACCCCCAGAATTAGTATCTCCAGTGCCAGCACCTCCAGCTCCAGCACCCTCCCTCTGAACCAGCACCTCCAGTGCTAGTACCCTCAGAACCAGCACCTCCAGGACTAGCAGCTCCAGCGCCCACGCCTCCAACACCAACAGACGCCCGCAGAAGGTGCCCACACCAAGGCCAGTCTAAAGATGGTATTGACAAGGTCCGGTGTCACGGTGACCCGACACCCAGCTGGCAGGGCCGCCACCGCGGTCTGCGCTCCCCAGACCACCAGGGCCCCACTGCTGCTACGAGACCCACGTCTGTACCGCCTGTATCAGCTGTGGCATGTTCTGCGGCTGCTACTGCGGTACAACCACACTCCCTGAGTCAGCACCTCCTCCGGCTGTACCATTCCCTGAACCTCCTCCAGCGGCAGCTCCCCCAGACGCGCCAGCACCTCCACCTCCACCACGAGCACGACCAACACTGCACCTTGTTAAACAACGTGAATGAATGAACTAGGAAGAATGTGGGTAAAAGTATGAAACCCTAAACCTGATGTACCCCCTATAGCTATCTTCACTATAGCCTAACATACAAATATGTTTTGACACATCCCCATAGGCTAGTGAGAGATAACGAGAGTCACAAACGGTCACAATCAAGCTCGGGGTGGATCTCAAGATCACCACAAATTCCGAGCACAAGCAAGCGGCCACAAGGCCAGTTCACATGCAGGGTTATAGTAGCACAACCAGTACACTGATCACAACCTAGCAAGAGTGAACATGCAGGTATATATGTATATATCAAGGTACAACGCAAAGTCAAGAGGTAAGCAAGTGAGGCAGAGTAGGCACAAGGCCTAGAGCAGTGAAAAAACGCGGATGATCACCAGAACCAAGGGCCTTGGTGAGTGGTAGGAATCTTATGGTTTAAAGGCGCGCATCTACTTCAGAACCCACACGCCGGCCTCCGCATAGTATACGCCGTCCTGCAGAACCAGCAACCCCATTCGCAGGCTAGGAGCCACAAACGAGGCGACCTCGTTGCGTCATTGCCTGCTTGTCGCGTCGCCCTTTTCATAGCGTCATCGCCATGTCGCGAAGGGAGGCATTCGCTCAAACGGAGCCACACTTGCTGACCTCAGGTTAAGTCCTTCTTACGCCGACCCATCACTGTTTCGTTCGTTCTGGGTCCACTCCTTTCTTCTTCCTCGTCTACGTCAACGACCTGGGCTTCGCTACTGCAGACAGGGTTGCTTTGGCTTTAGTGAAGTCAGAACTGCAGATGAGATACACCTGCACTGACCTTGCTGAACAGCTTTCTTGGCTTGCATATCACCAAGGACAGAGCAACGCGCACCATCACTTTGACTTAGACACACATGGCGCAACACGTCCTTCTGCGGTTCGAGCTTCACTTCTCCACCACATAACCCACTCCTATTGCTGTTAACCACAAGCTCACTGCTCCTGTTTTCGACAAGCCTGTTGAGCCTAGTGGTCGCTACGCAGAGCTTGTGGGTTGCCTCATGTACGTGATGACGTGCACTCGTCCGGACCTCACTTATCCTCTAAGCATCCTGGCTCACTTTGTTGTGACTGAGAGACACCGTCTTGTTCACTGGCCGGTTGCTGGGAGGGTGGCCAAGTACATGGCGACTCCTTCCGGCATGGGGCTTGTGCTTGGAGGGAGACAGCTAGTGCGCCTTACTGGACACTGCGACTCGTCCTGGGCGGACGACGAGAAGACCAGAAGATCGACTCAGGGGTACTGTTTCAGCTTGGGCTTTCGAGCTATCTCGTGGATGTCTACTCGGCCGTAGTCTGTGCTAAGGCCGAGATCTACGCAGGTGTGATGGCTACCCAGGAGCTCCGCTGCTGACTTTCTTGCTCACTGACGTAGGTGAGCGGCCTAGCTCTGCACCGACCTTGTTCGCTGACAACAAAGCCATCATCCTCCTGTATCGAGAACCTCGACTGGAGAGCAGAGGGAAGCAAATTGATTTGCGGTACTTCCTGCTACGAGAGCTGCGGCGACGCGGCCAGGCATGCTTGGCCTTTGTGGCCTCAGCGGCCAACACTGCTGACATCTTCACCAAGGCCCTCCCGCCTGGTGACCACCACTCGTTCTGATTGCAGCTTGGCCTTGTTCAGACAGGCCCTCTTGTTTCTTGTTTCTTGCTCTGCTTGTTTTGTTATGTGTGTGTGTATATATATATGAACTCTTGAACTGGCCTTGTGGTCGTTCGCCTCAGAGGCTGGCTAGTCGTACCGCCATGAGTTGCATCTCTTGCTTTGTTGCTTTTCCTGAATGGCCTTGTGATCATCTGTCTCTCTTGCTTGCTTGATGTACCTCACCTAGCCTATGGGGGTGTTTCAAACCATATTTATCTTTGTCTTAGATTTTTAGGCTACAATAAGGTACATTGTATAGGGTACAACACTTTAGGGTTGCCTACCTTTATCTCACGCTTGCTAGTTCACATAATTCCGCTTCCCAACTCTGAGAGTTCGACCCTGAATTTGAAATTCCAGTCTTTCACTTCGTCGTGATTGGCGCCATACTACCTCGGCAGTATGGCCTCGGCAGTCAAGTACGGTACCTATAGTGCATTTTTTCCGGGATTGAGGCCATGATGCTTGAAGTTTTTTTTTTAAATCAAAATCCTTGCTAAGCAAATCCATTGACTTGAGTACAGTAGATAATCAATCAATAGATGATCAATTAGTAGATAATCAGTCAGTATAACTGTGGGCAACAACACTGATTGTTCAGTAATGTCTTTTTTTTGTACCCTAAAAAAAATAGTGTTCTCAACTCCAAGGGCCTGAAAATCTGTGTTTGAGCTTTAAGGGACACTGAGGGATCAGCGTGCCCCAAAACGAACCCGAGGGCCTGCGCGCGGGTCAAATTTAGTCATGTTGATGTCGAGGGGTGTGCACCTCAGTTTCGCAAAAAAAAGGTTTGCAAGTAGTGAAAAAATGCTTTGATTTGTTAAAATTGCACCAGGGGTTGAGTATTGACTGGACTCCGCCGAACTTGAAAGAAGGGCTTGTGCAATTTGGGACCTTTGAGTAGTGAGCCCACCCACCAGGGGGGAAAAACGTGGAATACCTGGGCGTGGCAAGATGGACGAAAGCTAACCTCTCGTCATAACCCAGCCTAACAGGACATCCCCTTGAACAACTTGGGCCGTGGGCTTTAAGGGTCACATTGAAAAAATATGGACCTACACGGGCCATGTGAAGAGAGATGAAATACAGCAATATACATACACTATAAGAGTAGTGGGTCTCTTAAGCTTGAACAAGAGCAGCAAGATGCATAATCCTATGAAATCCATGCCACGCAACTGTTGCTATGCCTTTCCTTCAGACACAAATCCATACAGGGTGGATTTGTGGGTACTGGTATTTGCTGATGTGTCAGACTAAATTTTTATAATTTTATGCATGTTTCTGTAGTCTAGGCAGGCTTAGTTCTTAGAGAGGCTAATACTTTGTACCCTTCCC